TTTTTAGTCGGCTGCGAAATTCCAGCGTGTCTGGCGACCCCTGGATTATGAGATCAGACGCGGTCGATCTGTGGAGACCACCACAGCGGATAGCATTCCTGCTGTGCGGGCGATGGCGAAGGAGGATACGCGGGTGCTAGTGGTACAGTTACCCAAAAACCATCGAGATCAATCCGCATCATCCTCATGAAAGCTCGACCTCAGAAAGGTTTGCACACGCTGGGTTCCCCCATAGGCTCAGTGAGGACACAGAAACCAGTTCCGAAGTGAATTGGTGCTGCACCATGTTTGCCGGGTTTGATGATGGACGTTCCAATGCAGTTTGGGAGATCATCAGTGGTGATGAGACCCGGGTGTACGATTTCGACCTAGAGACAAAGAAACAATCAACTCAGTGGATGCTGGTTGTTGGAGCGCCGCCTCGAAAATTCCGACGCGAGTGCAGTGTGGCAAAGCAGATGGTCGCTATGTTTCTGACTGAAGCCGATCATGCCACTACTGTACCGTCCGTACAGCAAATTACAGTCACCAGAGATTGGTACGCCACCCACTGACAGCCGAAAGTGCTGGAAGCTGTTGCCAGACTTCATTCAAGTAATCGAGCACGATAGACCTTGCTGCACCATGACAACGTACCTGCACACAGATCCCATGAGATCAACGATTTTCTATCTAGCGTACGCATCCAGGAGGCTGGTCACTCATCCCACAGTCCAGAACTGGCTCCGTGTAACTTAATTGTGTTCCAAAATGTCAAGCGAATGAGGCATGGAATCCGATCGGAGTCCCGAACAGCTGCAATGGAGTCTCTCATTGAATTGGTCAAATGGCTAACCGCTTCAGCATTGTCAAGCTGTTTCTCCAAATGGTTTGAATGCATGGAGCTATGTGCATGAACGCTGATAAAGAATACTTGGAGAAAATATGGTGTTTATTTTTGTGTAAAACTTTTACTTTTTATGTGCATCCGGAAACCTACTGCTCACGCCTTGGATAAACAAACCGTTTTATCCTTGCCCTCCCGAAAAAAATTCAATACGGATGACATGCGAAATTTGTTGCACTCTTTAGGCTATCAGGGATCTCCAGCCACTTTGAGGAGTCGGTCGCAACGGTTGCCAACGTAATTATTTGGATCTTCTTATGTTCTGCTTTTTTGCAAATTTATATAATCTATGAATTGGCAAGTTCCACCATGAAATTCAGTTTGGTGAGAACCACGCAACCTAAAACTGATTGCGATGGAAAACATGTTCTCGATCTAGAAGGCAAGGATAAGTCAGCTACTACTTCGAGAGAGAGTGAGTGAGTGATCGTTAGAATCTGGGGTGCAAGCAAGTTTGAAAAACGATTGCCAAATATGTGGACTCCATGCCTAAAACAATAAACCGTCCCGAGTGCCTAAATGAAAGTGAAATATATGGAATAGTTATAAGCTGAAAATGCGATTAATGGGTGTCATACCGTTTGGTCATTTTCACAAGGATATATTCTTATGAATGTTGCAAATCCGACCGTCGTCAAACAACAGAACCCATCGGTTTATAAGGCAATGGAATAGAACAGAAAGTTCTATAGGTGTATATTATTCCAGAAATTACGTCTGTGTGATGTGGAGTATTACGTCAAATATGGGTATGCACGGAGCTCACTGAAAGCATAGGATTTGGAGAAGAAGAGATTTCATGAAAGACAGTGTGACACCTAATTTCGGTAACATGTCGACCCGGACAGATGAATGGAGCATTCCCAACGCTGGGCAATGCAACTGGGCTCTTCTGTTCTGAGTTGAATTAAATGTTTGAATTCAATTAAACGATATCACCTCAGTCATTGTCAAACAGACGGCAAACGAAATACCACTATCTAATAAAAACAGTTGTATCTCAAACTGATCGGTATGATTTACCAATTCGGAAAGAAACTGTGAACAAAATCACACCAATGTTTATTTTCATACTCTTGTGCGATCATTTTTTTCCGGTACTCTACACTGTGCGTGTTTCATTGGTTTACATTTTGGGCACCGAGTCGAAGAACCAGCGAAAATAGTAATTATTGAAGACAGTGCAAAGACGGAAATGAGACCAAGAAAGATTTGCAGACTTCAGATAACCTAACTGTGTGCACACCATGGTTATCTACACCACTCGCATCGTTCACTATCCGTGACCACCAATTAGACTGATTCCGAGTTTTCCAACCAGAACACATCATATTTCAAACACGTTGTTTTCTACATAGGAGAAGAAACTTTACATAGGAGCACTTAAGTGATACTTCTACGCCGGAATTCACCCATAAAAGTAAATTGAAGTATATATTCCATTGGAATAAGAATAGAATCACTTTACATACTGTTTCCGAGTGAGATGATTCACTTGAACGTTTTATTTGCATTTTTCGAATAATATTTGTTCTAGTCATCGAATTTGATTCTTAAAGTTTTAAATCGAAACATGTTGTGATATGAGGAAAGTGAAACAGCGACGATTCAGAGGCATTCTAACCCCTTAGAAGATGACAACTGTATCGGCAACAAAAAAGGGTAAAACGGGGAAATTGACATCGAGTAAGTGTTGGGTGCACGATTCCTGGTCAACTCATTATACTATAGTTGTGAGGTACTACTCACAAATGTGAGTAGTTTGCATGCACCAAGAAGCGGTTCCATTAATCATCTGGTGTGTTTGTGAGAATTTTGAAAAAACTTGTTCCAAATACCAATTTATCGTTACCCTAACCGTGATTACTAATAACTGGTTCTCCCTGTTTCGGCATTGTCTTTTAGGTTTATAACATTGTTTCAAACTTATTGATCTGTAACCATTTTGATGTTTAACCCCGGGGGACGGGAGGGGGGGAAGTCAATAATTTAAAGTATCGGTTGATCGATTCAGAAATTCAGACTGCCTGGTTGCGTACTATAATTGACTGATGAATAACGATGATTAATAGTAGAGACAAAAGGATTTTTTTTCGACGTGATGCTTTTTGACGATAGGTGTTCTCTGATGACATCCGACACGCAGTTATCAAAACTCTCTCATAGTTAATGAAGCGAATTGCAATAGTGCAAACCGCTTGGGATTAACTAAAAGCGCGTCGCGTCAAGCCAAAATTCTTGGTTGAATACACTGTGTAGATAGAACAACTGTATTGGAAATTATGTGGAATGATGATTGAAAAGCTCGGGATGCGCATGTTGGTGTTGATGAGTTCTCCGAACTGGAAGTAGTGTTGTTGTTCACAGACATTTTGTAGCCAGACTAGGCATCATCATTGGTTCGATTTTGGAAACTGACACTTCCCCGAAGTGGCCCTGGTGACCTTACCCGAATGTAGCTACAAAACATCTGCGAACACTACTTCCAGCTCGGAGAACTTAGCAATACCGGAACACCTGTATACCCAGAGTTGTCTTAGGTTTTCAGGTATAAATGAGTCGCGAATAAGACGATGAGATATGCCGTCTATCGAACTGAGCAAAGATGAAATTTCAATGATTACATACATTTTCAGAATATTTGAAACTCCTTTACAAAAAGAGTTAAATTCATGCTCTCTATAGATGTGTGATATTGCTTGCATGTTTTTATTCCGTGCTAAAGTGGACAGTAACCAAAACCAGTGCAGGAAATTGTACGTTGACTGGTTTTAAAAACTTAAAAATGGAATGGCATAGACATTCGTGAGCAGGCATTTTGAGTATATATATATGTATATATACATAGAAAACACTCCCCATCGGCACGACGTACACATATCATTAGGCGGGGAAATGAAGCGGGAGACAGTAGCTCTCAGTCTCTCATGTGGACTGGCGCCAACCACTGAAAAAGAACATAACTAGTTCCCAAAGGTCTGCACAGTATCTCTTATCGTTTTGGAGCGAATAGCAGTATTTTCTAGAGCCCCTACAGCGATTGTTTGTGTCTGACCGGGAGGGTTCAGGATTTATGAGCATTGCCATGAAGTTAGTATTGACTGCTAGCTCTCTGTTACATCAGACGAATGCCCAAACTAGCTGGATAAAGTGGCAAAGTGACCTCAGTTGCTCAACAATAGCCACCCCCCCCCTCACCTCACCCCACCGCCCCAAAAACAACGAGAAGCACTATTTCTGTAAAATAATCCATATGAACAATAAGATTGTTGAGAAACGTGCGATTTAATTTCGGACGGAAATCACAATTGAAACTTTTTTTTCTACCACAAGTTCAATCCGTTTTTTCGTGCTTTGTAAACCTTTTTTCACTCCATCCCTCCCTCCCACCCACCCACCAAAACCACACCTCAAATAAACATCTGACAGAACAAATTATTTTGTTCCATTTTACTGAAATTTCAGTCGGAAACTGAGGTGATCTGTGCTAGCTTCCGTGTCTGACTGAACACATTGTGAGTCGCACAGACAGAAACTTTTCCCGTACGAATCGGTATCACCTCGATCATAGATAGCGATCGATTGTAAATCTGTGTTGATTGCAAAAACCCAATATATATATATATATATATATGCCCCGGTTGTGTTCACTGGATGCTTTGTGTCAGCTATTCATGAAACCAATAAATACAATAGGGAAAGTTTCCATCCAACCTCTGATCGGTCGGGCAGGCTGATTTTTGCCTGACTGTGTAGTGCGCATGTATGCATAGACTTTGCGCCACCGGAACAAGTGGTGTGTATGATCAGACTGAAGCAATAAAGTCAACATTTTAATCTTTTAAATTGTAAACACACAACTATCTTGAATCTGAGTAGCACATGTAAAGCATTACTGCATTAGCTGCCCTTTGAATGGTATTGAAAGAGTTTATTTTTATTGGTTCCCCTTTAAAACCATAATTAAGACATACCAACTTCTTTCTAACATGATTTTGTCTTAGAAAATGTCTCATTGTGTTTTTGCTAACCAAGTTCCGGTACTTTCTCTCTCATCTAAATTCTGCCCCACGCATAGAATCACACATATGTCTTTCTGTCTACAGTAGACTGAATGGCCCAGAACGTTTCCACCAATGTGTCTTCCGTGCCCCAAAACGTTACGTCCGAATCAACAAGCCACCCGTGGACCTCGATCACTGAAACCACACAATGGAACGGCACACATTCTGTGAATCCTGATAACGGGATTGTTAGTCATCATCGGGATCTGATGGACTGGTCTATGCTTCATCCAGACTATCAAGACAATCGTGAATTGCTAGATCGCCCGTTGATGGGTATTGCCATTATTGGGGGCTTCTTTCTCACAATCAGTCTACTCCTCGTGGTGGCAGTGATTGTATTCTATTTGAAACGTAACACGGTTTTTGTCTTGGAGAAAAGTGTACACGGTGGCCTGTACCAACCGGGGGATCAGTCACTTGTGATTGGACAAACCGCACTGGCTCGTAATATGGGCAGGCGTACGGCTCGATCGAATGATTGGCACTCCGGAGAGCCGGACTCCGTTAACGGATTGGACGGAACTGAGGCAGATGACACGGATTCGGATACGCAATTCGATTATGATGATGCGAATACGGATGCGAATACGAATGAGCACCGATCCAGACCAATCAGTTTCGATCAGCTGACCCCGTCTGGTCGACCAGTCCTCGGCTCATACGTGATTCGACCGGATCATTTGGTCTTTACAAATCCGCAACACCGGAAGCATAGTGCCACGTGTTCCCATTCAATCGCTCATAACAACGCAAATCGATCACGATCGTATTTGTGTCCACATGGAAAACCATCACCGCCGTTCTACTCTACCACTCCCAGTTCTGCTCAAGTATGTTGTTGCCATTCTTCTGTTTGTTTGATTCTGTATCCTCATCTTAATCATAGTGTTGGTCAGTTTTGTTCAACCATAAGTTATCATGACAATTGAATACTATGATTAGTAAGATGTTGAATGCGTAGAGGGGCTTGTCCATTGACAGGATGACGCAACACGATAAACCTTTTTGTAACTTTTATGCATGTTCCATGTGTTAAAAAAAGGCATGTTTTTTAGAGCAATTGAGCATAATCACACTGTTGATCACAGTTGCTTAATCTAACTCCGTCCTTTTCCGTTCTCGTTCCTTCTAATCGACCGGGGAAAACATGAGTTATTATTTTTCGTGAACGTGATAAGTCCAGTAACCCGCAGATCCAAACAGTCATATTCGGAGTATGGGGCTTGTTTCGGGCTGAAATGTAACAGAATACTGGGGCATTACATCTGACCGCTCATTGATTTTAGGTCAATTGATAAGCTCGATATAATTATGTCGCGATTTATTACTTCTTCCATCTTTCTAACTCACCTACCAACACTCGACCACGGCTTCCCTCTGACCGCACTCACTTTATGTTGTCACTACTGGATCATTTCGGACAATACCTGTCAGGAGGGCAGATTAACAACTAGGGGTGGGGAGGAATAGTTGCACGAAGGTGGATGGAACGACCGAAACTTGTTTTTTCGAGGTCTCGTTGTCATTTCTTGTAAGTTCCTGATGAACTTAACCAGTTAGAGTGCCATATTTATCTATCGACCCGGATGAAAATGATTGCCTTTGTGTTTAGTTTCCCGCACTAGAATTTGAACGAAATGACAATCCGCAGGACAATGTGTCCGGTGAGCTGCACTCTCAAGCGTGTTGTGCCATTGGGCTAAAAATACACATTATGGTCCCCAGTTAGAAAGAAAAGGGACATCAGAGGATAAGAAACACCATCGGAGTTCACCGGGAATCTAATGACAGTTTTCCAGATAGCTACGTGGCTCCAATCAAAAGTTATATGCGTTGAGTGACATAATACATACACGCCGGAAACCCTAACGGAACGCCTGTCCCATTCCCGCTTTACTTATGGGCGGACTATGGGAAGAAAAAGATAATCAACAAGTGACATAAACCTCATTCGGTCCGCAGAGGGTTCACTAAAATATTAAGGTTCCTGATGATGTTCATACTTTGGTATATTTTGCGTCCGATTCAATCGAACATTCCGGATATGTTTAACTAAGATCACACGAACGAAACACCTAATCTGCAACAATTGGTTGCTATTTTCGTGATCCACTCTTCATCGGTGCTTGCCAACCTAACAGTCTGTATGTGTATTGATAAGTTCTCTAATCCACTCGCAGATTCGGTGGAAATCCAACAATCACCTTATTGCACACGCACACTACTCGCAATTGTGAGCAATATCTCACAACAATTATGGCAGTTACTGACATTTCGTTCACGGTTATCTTTTTCAAACTAGTCTGAGTTTCAAAATTAATCTCTCTCTCTCTCTCTTCATTATTTTTTTTCAATTCAGTCATTGGATCTTCGCAAAGAGGAAGGGCCTTTCATCAAGCGTAGCATAAAATAGTTTCTTGCTCTAGTTGAAAAATAAAACTCATGTGTATTTGAGGTGTCACCGGTTGAACAAACAACTAACTATTCCCTTAAACCAATCATCGTTCAGGTTTGATCTGCACGCATAATCTTCAGTTTTTCCTATCAACTATTACACTTTTGCCCATCAAGCTTTAGCCAAAACCAGCGGTAGTATTTTAGTCTCGATCCGCAATGTTTTAGCCGCGGCTCATTTTGACCTAGCAACATTTGCAACAGTTCACATTATTAATACGGTCGAGGCAAACGAATCAATGGGTTTTGTCTGTAGCTCGATAGAAAAAAATGTACTCAAGTTGGTGCCTTTTTTGAACAGTATTTATTAGCCTCGGCCTGTCGATGTATCCCCATTTCATGAGCACAGTTCACTGCATGTGAAGGTACGGAACGGTACCACTTGTTGGTTCAGTTCAAGGCTTGTGAATTCGAAACAATGTACTGTTTGTGTTACAGTTGAGATTTTTACTCACACCGTAGTGTCGCATGTTTTTACGGAAATACAGAAGCTGTACCAGATGTGTCAAATGGGTTCACCATCCGGGCCAATCGATTGAATCTTCT